AAAAAAAAAAAAAAAAAATCTTTTAATAAGATGATTCAAAAATAAAAACATGATCAGAGTAATACGGATCCAGGCAGCGGTAAGTTTTGGTTTTTTAAAGCAGTAAAGGCAATGAGAAGGCAGCACACAGGGAAATCTAGCTATTTGCAAGGCAATATGTTCACAGCCTACCTTTTCAGACCCAACAACATACTCACAGGGCGGTATGACAGAAAAAAAAAAAAAGGAAAAGAAAAGAAAGAGGAACAAGCAAAAATTAGAAACACACAAGAACAAAAATAACTTTCACGCCTACGACACTGCACGTCCAGGAACCTACCAATGGGCTCTCATGAGGCCAGGGGCACGCGGGATGTTCAAGTAAAATACACGCGCACCCCACGTTACTGGGAAGTGTGGGGCCTGCACTCAGCCGAGTCGGCCACAGGGCCTATCCATGTGGCCAGTGCACCAACCGAAACTTGGCCTTCACCTAGACATTTCCTTGTGAGCTGCAGAATACGATCTCATTTCAGTTGGACGCTCCTACAAGAGCTGCAGGAACGGAACCCGCTACACAGCAGTGAGAGCAACAGTGTTAGCAGAGATTACAGAAGAATGTATTTCATTTGAGGTCAAAAGAGAGCTGAGTGTTTACAGCACTCAGAGCAGAATGGACCCACCGGGAGGCCAGTTCAATCCACTGCCGCTTTTCTGGGGCCTAGAGCCACACCTGGCACGTGGAGGCCCTCACTCGATGCTTGCTGATATTATTACCCGGCACGTGCCAGGCAGTGTCCCAAGACAGTCCTGTCTCTCCCTTCAAACCGTGAGCATAGATTTCAAAGGGCAAGAACAAGCTGGCATTCCCTGGTGGGTCTGCAACCTCAAAGCCAAGAAGTCGATGACTAAAATATGTCACTGGTGCCTCGTGTAGCAAAGGAGGATGTCCCAGGCATGGGGTCAGAGCGGGGTTCCCGGCTGCCTTTGAGGCTTCAGCCTCTCCCCCACTGGTCTGGGCGGCAGGGACAAGCCAGTCCATGCCCACACCACAGGCCACTGCAGCTGGGGAGTGCAGGGGCTGTGTGCACGGTGCAGCCCCATGTGGTAAGGGACAGTGGCCAGGGCACCCGCCCCACTGAGCACGCTGTGGAGAGGGCTCAGTGGGCACCATAGCTCTGTCCCTCGTGGCTGACCAGCTCCTACACCTTGCCACCCCGGCCCCGAGGCGTAAAAGGGGAGGACCAGCATGTAGACCACAGGGCCACCAGGAGGACTGAGCACAGGTCACAGGTGCAACATGCCTGCCCCTTCCTTAGGCCACTAAAAGTGTGTGGCGAGGAAATGAACACCACCCCAGACCCTGCAAAGCACCACAGGCAGGTGGAACTTGGGCTACTCTGTGCTCCCCACTCACAGGGCTGGCCTAGGGCCTGGTTTTTCTCGGTTCTGTGACAATTTCTCCTCCAACTTACCAACAAGCAGAAGGGCAGTGTCTGACCTTAGGTAAATTCAAGAAACTTACTGACCACCTACTTTGCAGTGGGCACTCTGCCAGCATGCACACTGGGTTACTTAAGCCTCACCCCGGAGACCCTGATCCACAATCTACAGAAAGGGACACAGAGGGGGACCTGGGTGGCTCAAGTCAGTTAAGCATCTGATTTTTGATCTCAGCTCAGTTCATGTCAGTTTGTGGGATCGAGCCCCACATTGGGCTCTGTGCTGACAGTGCTTAGCCTACTTGGGATTCTCTCTCTCTTCTCTCTGTCCCTCCCAGCTCATGTGCACATGCTCTGTCTCTCTTTCAAAATAAATAAACTTTAAAAAAAAAAAAAAAGAAGAAGAAGAAGAAGAAGAAGGAGGAGGAGGAGGAGGAGGAGGAGGAGGAGAAGAAGGGGCACCTGGGTGGCTCAATCAGGTAAGTGTCTGACCTTGGCTCAAGTCATGATCTCACAGTTGGGTTTGAGCCCCACATCGGACTCACTGTTCTGAGTGCAGAGCCCGCTTTGGATCGCTCTGGATCTCTTTGGATCGTTCTGATCTCTATGGATCGCTGTGGATCTCTATGGATCACTCTGGTCTCTTTGGATCGTTCTGGTCTCTATGGATCACTCTAGATCTCTATGGATCACTCTGGTCTCTTTGGATCACTCTGGTCTCTATGGATCGCTCTGGTCTCTATGGATCGCTCTGGTCTCTTTGGATAGCTCTGGTCTCTACGGATCGCTCTGGTCTCTATGGATCACTCTAGATCTCTATGGATCGCTCTGATCTCTATAGATCGCTCTGATCTCTGTGGATCGCTCTGATCTCTGTGGATTGCTCTGGTCTCTGTGGATCACTCTGATCTCTATGGATCGCTCTGGCGCTCCTCCCCTGCTCGCTTGCTCTCTCTCTCTCTCTCTCTCTCTCTCTCAAAAATAAATATTAAAAAAAAGAAGAAGAAGAAGAAGGGGACTAAGAGACTAGGTGCCCAAGGCCACGAAGCCGACACTCTCCCTCACTCAAGGGGACCTCCTCTAGGCAAACTATCACATGTCGTTCTCTTCCGTGCATGGACACAATGGCCACAGCACAGGGAAGCAGAGCAGGGGACAGACTGGGGGAACAAACAGCACAGAGAGCTAACCTGCAATTCTGGGGCAAAGTTCAGTTGTTGACTGAATCTCAGGGGAAATGTGAAGCCTGATCTTTTCCTGCTCTGTCCAACACCCCCTCTAATACAGAGAATGTGAACACACTTTCATCTGTATAAGGAGCTCTTTGGGAAGTCCCTGGTGGTGTTTCTGACACCCTGATGATGCTTGTCTAGGCTGACTGTCAGCGAGGAGTCAGATGCTGTGGCTATCGTAGGAAGAAGGGGCCTGACCCATGCGCAGCACCCAGCCTGGGCGGCCAGACCTCCTTTCCTGCTCAGCTCAGCTAGCTCCTAGCTCTGGCGCTTCTCCTGCTTTGGCACCTTATCTACGAATCAAAGAGACAAGGATGAATCAAAGTTTCAAACTGGGCTCTGAGGCAGTGCTATCCAATAGGAATAAAATGTGAGCCACGGAAATAAGACTTTCCTTCCAGTTGCTGCAGTCTGAAATTGATTTTAATATTTTGTTTAACCTAATACACGTAAAATACTACCATCTGACATGTAAAAATATTAATGAGGCGCCTGGGTGGCTCAGTCGGTTAGGTATCTGACTTCAGCCCAGGTCATGATCTCACAGTTCATGAGTTCGAGCCCCTCGTCAGGCTCTCTGCTGTCAGCACGGAGCCCACTTCGGATCCTCTCTTCCCCTCACTCTCTGTCCCTCTCGGGCTCTACATCTCTCTGTGTCTCAACAATAAATAACCATTAAAAAAATAAAAAATACATTAATGAGATATTTTCTTTTTTCCATGCTAAGTCCCAATACCTGATGTGCATTTTACGTACAGCACATCTCAGCTCAGACTGGTCACCTCTCTGGTACTCACAAGCCACAAGGGGCTACCATGTTGGACAGCAGCGCAGGGGGTCCCACAAGGAGTCTGAAACGGGGGAGGAGGAGTACACACTAACCCTGCAAGGATTTCCCTTAACAGAAGGCTGGCTGGCCCATCCTTACAAGTCTGAAAACTGCAGACTGCACCTGTCCACCCCCCACTGCAGTGAAACTCTGCTATCTGCTTATCCCGTCTTGCCGTCCAGAAGCAGCCCTATCACGAAGCCTCTGGGCCCCTAGGTAAACTTACCTGCTATCTGTGTCCAGTCCCACAAAGTCCTTTTTCTCAAACGGGACACAGAGGAGGGGGATCTTATCCCCGGACTTGTCTGTGGCCCTGTCCAGACGCTTGGACTCGAGCACAATGAAGAGGGATTCAATGAAGTCCTCGATTCTCTTCTCCACCGCCTCACAGTCCTCGTAGTTGGGGTAGAAGGCCACATCGGTGCGCGGCTGCTCCGTGATCTCCCCCTGCAGCCCAAAGACAAAGAGGCGGGAGTCGTAGAGCGTGGAGCCGTAGATCTCCTTCTGCACGTGGAACTTCTCGAAGGTCTGAGGCCAGTCCTTGGCCGAGAAGCAGTCTGTGATGGTGATGAGGCCCACGACCTTGCGATGGGTCTGGAAGTCGCCCCACTCGTTGTTCTCCGGTGGGTAGTGGTGCCTGTAGCGGATGTAGAGCACCCGCTGGGAGTCCCGCACGCTGATCTGGCTCACGGAGGAGATCCTCTTGTAGATCCTGAAGAAGTTCTCTTCCGAGACAATGCCCACAGGCTGCACCACCACGAGGAGAGTCTGGTGGTCCTCGGCACATTGCATGTAGTCAGGGACACTCATTTTGAAGACCCTGCCCAAAGAGAGAAAGGGGACTTTGAGGTGCACGGGTGTTGAAGGCTGTCGGCCCACCTTGGGATATGGTGGTTCTGACGCTCACAACCGGGGAGGCCGGGTAAGCCCCATGCAAAGCCACGGGCTACAATCTGTCCTTGGACTCCTGCACACGGCCACCACGGCTCTTATCACAATACCACAGCTCTCGGCCTAGGCCTCGAGGTCCTGCAGAAAAAGCGCGTCTCTCATTGTCTATTTCCAACACCTAGCCAGGTGCCGATGGAACCACTGAACTGCTCCCTCTTCCCCTTGGCAGGACATAATGAGAAGAACCACAGTGGAATCAGAAGATCTGGATTTGAACTCCGGTCTACAGGACAAAAATGGTTTATATGTGTAGTATCTCACTTAAACCTCTCCGTAACACCACCTCAACTCTACTGGTGAAGGACCTGAGGCAAAGAGAGCCCCCCTGAGAGGCAGTGTTTGAGCCCGAGCCCCACAGCAGGTGCCACACGGCCCCCTACCCCTCCTAGCAGGCATTCTCCAAACATTCTCTTCCACGCTGCCTCAGAAAGAACCACACCCACCGCAGCGTTCAACAGAGAGGTATGGCAGTCCCTGGGAGACTTCTCAAGCCCTCAAGGGCCGGGGCCGAAGGCAGAGATTTAAGGTTTTCTGTTTCTTAAAAGGAGGCATGGCTTTAAAAGCAACAGCAAAACACATATCTGGTCCAGGCCTTCACTGCGCAGAGACAAAGGGAGGCCCAGAATGGCAGTGGTCAGGCCCTACAGACAAGGACCATGGACAGGCCCTACGGACAAGGACCACGGACAGGCCCTACGGACAAGGACAAGGACAGGCCCTACGGACAAGGACAGGCCCTATGGACAAGCACCGCGGACAGGCCCTACGACAAGGACAAGGACAGCCCCTATGGACAAGGACAAGGACAAACCTTACGGACAAGGACCGCAGACAGGACCTACAGACAAGCACCATGGACAGGCCCTATGGAAAAGGACAAGGACAAGCCTTACAGACAAGGACCGCAGACAGGCCCTAAGGACAAGCACCGTGGCAGGCCCTATGGACAAGCCTTACGGACAAGGACCACGCACAGACAGGCCCTACGGACAAGTGCCATGGACAGGCCCTACGACAAGGACAAGGACAGGCCCTGTGGACAAAGACAAGGACAAGCCTTACGGACAAGGACGGCAGACAGGCCCTACGGACAAGCACCACAGACAGGCCCTAAGGACAAGAACAAGCCTTAGGGACAAGGACAAGCCTTACGGACAAGGACCGCATGCAGACAGGTCCTACGGACAAGCACCGTGGACAGGCCCTACGGACAAGGACCATGTCGCGGCAGCACCTGCAAGCCCTGGGCGCTGTGGAGGCATGAAGTGTCCACGAGGCCCAGGAGAACAAGTGCATAGAAGAAAGAAAGAAAGAAAAGACAAGGACAAGCACACAGGCCTTCTCTCCACAGTGCTGTACGGTGAAGTGTCACCAAGTTATTCAGTACGTTTGCACCCAAAATCGAGGTGTCACAGGTTACAGAAGTTGGGAATTTTGAGTCACGATGGAAATCCCAGCCTTTGCTATGGCGTTCCCACTTCCTGCAGGGGCTCAGCGGGCACTCTGAGCCAGGCTCTATACAAGCCATGAGCTCTCCCAAATACAGATTCTTATTAACATGTGCACACATCACACCTAGACCCACCTAAGAAAAGCCACCTACAGATAAGATCGAAGTAATGAAATTTAAAGCAGCCAAGTAACCCACGTTATCAGCAAAAAGGATGCTGCCAGCCCATTAGGTGGCAGAGGACATGAAGGCAGGCACAAGTCCTTCGAGTATGTCCCTGGCTGTCAAGCTATGTGACCATGAGTCGCATAGTTTCACCAAGGTTTAGTTTTCATTTTTGTGAGGGGCTCTGGTTGACATTAATGATGCGTAAAAGCTCATCATTCACATGCCCAACATTTAGTGACAACCTCCCACATGCCAGGCTCCGTACAGAGGAAAAGACAGGGTCCCACACATATTCATGAGTACAAAGAGAAGAAAGATGTTAATCCTCCCCAACCTGGTATATAGATTCAATGCTACTCTGATTAGACTTCCTACCGGGAAGTCTATATATGTATATATAGACTGTCAAGAACAGCCAAGAATCACTACTGAGGAGGGGCATGTGTCCCCCTCCCCAACAGCAAGACCAGATACAACTACAACTGCTAACAGAATACAGGGTTTCTTTTGGGGCTGATGAAATGTTGTAAAAACGTGTGGATCTTGAGAAACTTAACAGAAGACCATGGGGGAGGGGAAGGGAGAAAAAAAGTTACAGAGAGAGAGGGAGGCAAACCATAAAACCCTCTTGGATACTGAGAACAAACTGAGGGTTGATGGGGGGTGGGG